GAGAGTTGGGATATTCATATGAGCAGTTTCTTTAGCAGCTTTATCCGCTAATTTATTTCCTGGTATCCTGGAGTGTCCTGAAGTCCAGAAAAAAATTATACTTTTATTAAGGTTGTTTATAATTTCGATGTATTAAAGTAAAAACAACATTAGAGATTTAAGTGCATATAGGTCTTTTGTTTAAGGGGAAAGAATAACATTAAAAAAAAAACTAAAAACAAAAGAAAATTGTACCACTACAACCTATGAAGGGTTCAGCACTATGCGAGAAAGTACTGTTTCAAGGCCAACGGTTGTGCACAGAAGTGATTGGACCGAGATTATGCTTAAGTACCAGGTTTTCTTCCTTGATTATGTAATCAAGAGTGCCCACTTTATATAGGCTGGATGTGCCTCAGGAGGCTCTCTCGACCCCAAAGTCGATTCACTGCTGATGATAAATGTAATAGTCATCAGCCGGACGCTAGAATCTTGAGCTCAGAAAGTCAGTGTTCTCCCACTGAGCTACCCTATTTCTAAGAATAACAATATAAACTAATATAAAATTTTATTGAATACGCTGATATATGTATTTTTTTTATTAATTAAAAAAATATTTAATGTGTTATGATTAGTTCATTTTGCTATGTGAAAAGTTTTTTTTTTTGCATTAATCAAATCTGCAACCTTCTGAGTAAGGTTTAAGTTAGGAGATCTCTAGGCCACCAACTTCAAAAATTGTCGGAGTGGGATGTACGGGTTCATTGTAGAGCTAAATGTTTGGTCTAATGGGTACATGTTGTAAGTCAAATTCTAGTGAATAGTCCTTCTGTATCAGGTGCGTCTACAATTTTTTGCAAAACTTTTGATTGAATAGTTTGAATTTCGTGTTTATTAAACTTTTATACAAAGCTAGTAAGTCCGTAAAGGTTTGATAATTAATTTGTAGATGTTTAATTTATTAGTTAAGGATAATTTGGATAACGTCTGTCAATTAACCTGGATAACATTCCACAGTTCAATTGTTTTATTTTTAACCTAGAATGAGTTCTCCATGTCACTTGAGACACTTGTACATTTAATGTACCAAACCATGCAGGTGTGTATGTACCAAATCTGTAGTAGTGATAGGAATATTATTATTGGAATACCAGATGGAAAATAAAAATGAACGAAACGAAATTCTTATTTATTGTTTTTACACAAAATCATGGTACATGACTACAGGTTTTCTTCAATAACGTATACGTAAATCATCCATCTTCTTCATCTCAGATTATTATTAAGACTTCTTCTTTTTCTTCCTATTTTACTCTCCATTCGTTTTATCTCCTCTGTTATGATGCCTAAGAGTTTCTCCGTAGAGACAGGACCCTCTTGATCTGGTACTTCATTCATTTCATCATCTGACAACGAATTTATTGGATGCCAATATCCACAATCCCTCTTAAAGTTGAAAGAGAAAACGCTAAATTGGCGAAATGTGAGTGCGCGACCCAAGAATCCTAGCATCTTGCGAGATGGACAATTCCGATTTTGAATTTCTTGAAATTCGTGAATTTCCAATTTCTTGTCTATTTATTTTTTACTATTCACTTCATAATCATATGAAAATGACACTATTGTTTTGTTTTTTATCATTTTAAAACCATATGTTCCAGTGATTTATCTTATGATTCAAACTATTTTAATACGGAAATATAGGTTCTTTTCCGGCGCTCAGGAATCATGAATATTGATGAATGAAAGTAAACTTCTGGGAGAAGTGATAAATCATAATCTCAAGACTTAAAACCTTACTACAATTACAAGGGCAATAAACAATAAGGAGATTTCAATTTTTTAAAAAATATTTTGTTACGGACATCATGATCTAATAATGGGTTGGAAAATAAGTCCTTTCGGTTTTTCTGTTTATTTTTATGTCACTATGATACACTCCTTGTCAGATGAATAAATCCCTAAGGTGGATTGTTTTTACTTTCACTTACGTATATATGTAATATATAGTAAGTGTAAGTATTTCGATCGAGAAAATTTTTGAATCTGAGTTTTCGACGGATTTATACGTTTTGAGGTACCCTGAGTCGAAAAGTCCCGAAAAATGGTCTGTGTTTCTGTGTGTTTGTACGTTAGCAGTCTAGCTCAAAAACGAGAAGTCCTATGAAACTTATATCACGTATTTAAGATAGGTATATGTCTTAGTTGTGACGGCAACTTTTTCCTTAAAATCGGCTAACCGGAAGTGCCACTTTATATCAACGCTGAAACACATTTTCACAGTTTTCTCAAAAACGGCTCTAACGATTTTGATTAAACTCGGTGTATCATAGTATAATTAAGTGGTCTTTAATATAAATTAGGTCTTATCCCCATTGATGTCACTTTACAGGGCTTAAATGCCCAATGTTCATATACGTCTTCCTCTAAAGTACCTTTAATATGGTTTATTCCTGTTTGTAATATGTCAACAACTATATCTGTTAACTCTTGTTAAAACTAGCTTAATATTTATAGTTTGCTATAATTTATAGTTTGCTGTTGCACTATAAATATTGGAGAAAATATCATACATTATCGGCATATTTTGTTGTATTATTTTAAAAAAAAACGGAAACGTGCTGCAGATGATCATAGAAAAATTTGCAGTGTTTATGGGGATGATCCCTTAACATTACGCACCTGTCAAAGTTTTTTTGCCATAATTTGATTTAAGTAACTAAACATTGCTCCATTGTAAACTAGACAAAATTTACATTAAACGAAAGTAGAGTTTAACATTGTTTACACTATTTAAATATTAATATTGAGCGGACAAATTCAGCTAAGTTTCGATTAAATATGTACTTAAAGTTTATTGAACTTGTAAGTTTTTCTAAAAGTGAGGTAACTATAGTACAGTTGAAAGATGATAAAAATATTTTTTTTACTTCTTTTTAAACGTAACTTAGCTGAGTTTGTCCGCTCAATAATTCTCTTTAAATAGTTTTAACAATGACAAAATTTAATTTCATTTTTTTTTTATTTATTCATGATATTTACAACTGTATTAAAAAAATTAAATACATTAAGTAAATTTGATAACAGAAAATAATAACATGAAATGACTTGTTGAGAAACTACCCACTGGTAGCACTCTAAAAACAAAATGTATTTACAATAAGAGATCTCGAGGCCATCTTCTTTTCAGACGCCTCGGAGGATTATCAGGGATAGAAGAGAAAACAAGGTTAGAGACGAGAGGATTCGGATGGTTATGAAGTTTATTATGGAAGGATTGGTATCTGGATTGGGCCAAATCGGAAACATAAGGAACATTAAGGTCATTATGGATTATTTTATTGGTGACAAAGTAAGGAGCATTGAGGATTTTCCGAAGGATTTTGGATTGTAAGGATTGGATACGAGAGGAATTCGATGGCTTAGTGGAGCCCCAAAGCTCAACTCCGTAAGTCCAAATAGGTCTTATTGTAGTCATGTATATAAGTCTTTTGTAATTAACTGGAAGCTTAGAGCGTTTTTCTAGTAAGTGTTGGAGTAGTCGGAAACGTCGAGCGGTTTCTTGTCGTTTCAGTCTGGTATGAGGATTCCAAGTTAGACGTTTGTCCAAGTGAAGTCCAAGGTATCGGATTTGTTCAACAGGGATAAGTGGGGTATTATTAAAGGATACTGTGGGACATGAGGTCATAGGTTTACGTCGAAGGGTAAAGGTGATTTGATGGGATTTATTAATAATTTCATTTAAATTAAATTTTGTCTAGTTTATTACAGAGCAATGTTTAATTACTTAAATTAAATAACTCTTTAGTTATCGCTTCCTATAAAACAGAAAACTTGAATTGGTTCAAAAAGAAAACAAATCTTAAATTTTCTACTTTTATACTGGTATTTAGGCAATTGTTTATATAATCTTTTTTAAAGATCTTGATGTTTACTATTAACCTTTTGAATATTTCCCTCTACTTATGGCATACCCTGGTTATACGAGTATATATATATATATATATCCCCATCCCAACATATCCAAACATATATTATTACAGTAAGGCTCGAAATCGGTTTTGTACCAAATGTAAGCTCATGTCATGCTCAAATACCATGAATGGGGTACCGTTGGATTCAGAATTTCAGCGAATCGTATTTTCCACTTTTGTTTTTATTTCTAAAATAAATAAAGTCGATACAAACATTTTGCTAGGCTTCAATACTGGAACGGTGGTAAGTCTAAAGATCGATACGGGACAAATTGGACCTTGAAGATTTTGATGCGTACAGCAAGACCTGGATCCTGCGTTTTTAAGCTCAAAAACTAACTATTTTCGAGATAACACAAGGCATAGAGTTCGGATCCACACAATCTTACGTTAATTGTAGTACTGTCAATACATGTCTCATTTCGTTGACTAGAGGCTTCAATGATCGAGAAAGGAGGAGTTTATATTATATATCGATGGTTTTTTGATCGGCAAGCCATATCATCGTCCATTCTTCACCAAATCTCAAGATTGATCCGTGAATTTCATCCCGAAAAATCAGGCAAACGAGTTATGAAAGAAAACAAACTTTATTTGAGAATAACTAAAAAATTACTCACTTGGTTATGCCCAAGATTATATAATAGATTCTTAATTCTCTACAAAAGGAAAAAAAAATTATCGAATTCGGACAATTTTTAGCAAAGATACAGCTTATTGAAATTTGTAAACATGTCGGTACCAACATTAATGATGACTTAAATTAATTTTTGTTTCCTTTTTCGATTATATGTATCCATAAAGTAACAATTGATTTATTAATCTTTTGATACGTTGCATTATTTTATTTTCAAATTAATTTGGAATTTGAGAACAAAATGCTGTTCGAATTTTTCGTACGGGCTTTCTAGTTTTCATTAATTCTTTTATTCACATCTTTTACTAAATTAATAACAATGGTATAAGAAGTTTATTAATCGCTCAAATATTTTTTTTTTAGAAAAGGAAAATAATTTAAATATTATTCAAGATAATACAAAAACAAATGTACTTTATAGGTTTTTATTTACATGGTTACATACGCTTGTACATTTAAATGTTTCTTATTTTCACTACTAGATAGTGCTAGTAGTCAGTAACTTTCTGCTTCATCCCCTAGTTCCTCCTTAAGCCGCTGGATCTCATTCATTATAATATCCAGCCGTTCCTTCGGGAACATGGGTTCTTCCATTTTTATCACCCCCGACTCCAAAGCCATCATCCAGTCCTTCCACCTGGTCAGTGCGGTCTTCTTATCAGTGTCAGATAATGGCCAATCGGGATACAAGTCACTGGGTTCGTAATCCGTCATGTTTCGAGAAACATAGAACATCGGACGAAATACAGCGGCGAATTTGATTAATCTAATAAGCATCTTGCGTGATGGCCGATTTTAATTTTGATTTTTCTTTCTTGTGTTTATTCTTGTTTTGTTTACGGTTTACTCTGCAATCATATGTAAATGGAATTATTTTTTATTATTATTTAACATTATTAATAAATATTACGATCAGATGTTACGATGACATTTCTTATGAGAGAGTTTGTGTAAGCCCTATAGTAGTTTTTAAAGATTTGTTCACAGTTGGTGTTCCTTTAAATATGCTGTCGAATTTCATAATAACCAGATAAGATTCAAGAATTTTCATAATCTACCAGCGTCTTTGATAAACCGGATATATTTTCAATTTGTTTTAGACGATGAAAATTATATATCTGGTTTTTGGGCTTCCACGTGGTATAGTGCCTACTATTGTGTGTATATATATACCATTTGAATTTTAACTGGAGATAAGGTTTATTTTTTTATATTAGATTTTCTTTTAATTTTTGTATTAATAAAAATTAAACGTAGTTTCTGTTAATTTACAATTTCCACTTAAATATAGTATTTCCAAGTCAATTGTAACATTTTCCATTTAAAATATAACTTGGATTTTTTTTTATTTATTTATTTTTTTAAATTTAATATCAACACATTCTGCCACATTCAAGAGCAATCAGCATTAGAGCTAAAAGAATCCACTCTAACAATATATACATACAGGAAAAAGAAATTATAAAAAGTAATGAAGAACAAAATAATAAATAAATTAAACAAAGTAAATAAAAGTGAAAAACAAAATATAAAATAATATAATAATTAGTAGTAAAGAAAGTATACTGATGAAAGGTAAAAAAAAAATAAACCTTATTATTTTTTTATATTAGATTTTCTTTTAATTGTTTTTTATATATAAAAATTAAACTTTGTTTTTGTTAATTTACAATTTTCGCATAATTATAGTATTTCCAAGTCAATTGTAACATTTTCCATTTAAAATATAACGGGTTTTTTTATTTATTTATTTTTATAAATTTAATATCAATACGTTCTGCCACATTTAAGGGCAATTAGCATTAGAGCTAAAAGAATCCACTCTAATAATATATATATATATATATATATATATAATAATTAGTAGTAAAGAAAGTATACTGATGAAAGGTAAAAAAAAAATATACGATTTTAAAATTTAAAGAATATATATATATATATATATATATATATATATATATATATATATATATATATATATATATATATATATATATATATATACATATATATGTATATATATAAATAGATAATGGTTACAAAATATATAGGTAACGAAAGTAAAGTAATGGTAAATACCCCAGAATATATCAGCATTTTTGGGAAATCAAGTAGAAATCGTTATCAAAGTTATCAAGTGCCTGGATAGTGAAAGACCTAAAAAACATATATGACAAGCTAATAACTAATGATCCTTTGCAGACTAATTATTTTTTATTTATTTATTTTTTCGTTTGTTTATTAATTTCAATTCATTTATTGATTTTACTGCTATTTTTTTTTCGTTTGCTTATTTATCTATTCTATCGTATTATCTATAAGTGTCTATTATTATCCTTATTTTTTGATCTTATTCTATCAACTGTTTGTCAATCAATTGTAAATTTCTCACAAAAATGTTGTCTACTTTACAATGGTGTACTTAGAATTCAATTATCTTGAACAGTATTTGAGCAATTCCTTCTTATGAAAAAATAGAAAAAAAAAGTGGGGAGCCACTTAGAAAAACTTAAACTTTTATCTCTTTTTTTTCGGTATCCGATCATTCATCAAATGAACTTTACTGCCGAAAATTTCTTTCTTTCATTGAATAACCCAACCAACTTTTCTTTAATATATGTACAGTGAACTATTAAACATTTACATTTGTTATTCATAAAAAAAAAATATAAGATAAAGTGAATATAAATCTTTATTAAACTTTATCAGACTTCCTTCATTTAAACATCATAAACTTTTAAACATCATAAACATTTTCATTGTGCGTGTTAGCGTTTATATCTTTCACTACTAGATTGTGCTACTAGTCACTTCTTTTCTACTTTTTCCTCAGATTTCCTCTTAAGTTGCTGAACATCACTTTTTAGCATTTCTAACTGTTCCTGAGAAAACACTGGCTCCTTGAAGTTCATCTTCCCTGAATCCAGAAACGCTATCCAGTCTTTCCTTTTTATCAGAGAGATCTTCTTATCATTTTCCGCTAATGGCCAACCGGAGTACAATTCGCCAAGATCGATATATGTATTGCGAGAGAAGCCGTTTAAAGGTCGATATAAAATCGTGTTGAATAGTCTACTAAGCATTTTGAAAGATGAATTTTTAAAAATACAATTTAAATTTCGAATATTTATTTTTTTTTTCACTACTTGCTTTAAATTTACTATGTGATCATATGAAATGACATATTCTTAATTGCTTCAATAACATCTGGGAATGACCACATGACAGAATGACCGTATGCAATCATAGAAGAAAGGTTGTATAAAAAATGTCAATAAAAAAAATATTTGAATTTAATGTATACTTTAGCACTACTATTTATATGACCAAAAAGAGGATAAATAAAAAAGATAATAAAAAGGGTTTTAGTAAATACAATTTTCCATAGAAATTTTTATTTGTTGGGCGCCTGGCTTACCAGACATTTATCCATTATTTGGCCATCATTAAATATTTATTCTACCACGCTAGTTCAGATGAGAAGGGGTTAGGATAAATAAAAAGATACTTATTCTATATACAATAGTATGCCATGCCACATATAAACATCAAGAAGGGAAAGTCAAGATATAAGATGTAAGAGCAGATGCACATGCTAAAATATGAACTAATAAATTAGGCACAGGAAACAAAAGAGAGAAGAGTTTTGTTTTCAATGCTCCCTTAATCTTGGTTACATCCTTATGTTTCTCGAATTTGGCATTTATCGTTTTATTATTTTACAAAAAAACTGAGGTGTGTGCTTTAGATCACACGATAGAAGTAAAAAAATCAACAAGGCGACATCAATAATATGAATTATAAATTATAAATAATAGTTCATTATGAAGAGGATGAAATGCTGGACGATTCCCTCGCTGACAGTATGCAGGTCCGATTTTCAGTTTCTGAGATATTTTAATCCTTATCTTCAATGAAACTCATTGTCATATAGTTTTAGACATTATTTTTCCTTTTTCGCCTCTCTAGAACGGCGTCGCGTTAAGATACAGTTTTCAATTATAGCCAATTACAGAGAGGATTAAATGTTGAACAATTGAGCTTACAGTGGTCAGATTTTATGTTTTTGAGATATTTTAATCCATAGACAAAAACACTTCAATTAGTCGACTCCAGCCGAGTTTACCCGAGCATTGCACACCGGAGATCATACGACTCAATCTAATTCACTTTCCAAAGAAGTTTTTACTTCAATAAATAAATCTATATATATATATATATATATATATATATATATATATATATATATATATATTATATATATATATATATATATATTATATATATATATATATATATATATATATATATATATATATAAATGAATGTCTGTCTGCCTGTCTGTTTGTCCTTTGTGCATTACTAAACCATTCAACCGATCGCCATGAAACTTTGGGAAGTTGTTCCGTACACTCCTGGGAAGGTTTCTGGCATAGTACTTCTGTCTTACAATAATTTTATATATGTAAAAAAAAATAAAAATGTAAATGTTTTTCTGTTCAAAGCCGCAAAAAAAATGTGTCGCTATAAACTGTAGCACCAAAACGGCTTTACTGATTTTAACGAAACTTGGCTAAAGTCTTCCCCTTGAAAAAAGGGGAACTTAAAAGTACTAAAAAAAACTAAAAAAGTACAGAAATTTTGACCTAAATAATAATAATAATAATAATACCCATATTTATATGAAAGATTTCTGATAGATGACAAAATAAAAAAAAAATTATCGAAATCGGACGGTTCGTTGCAGAGTTATAGAGTTTTAAACATGTACTGCTTTCTCTTCAGAAAAGGACATTTCCTTTTGCTTCCTCAGTACCGAATGTAGGCAAGCATTTTTTATTTTATTTATTAATCAAAAAAATTTATTAATTACTACAGTAATTGAAATTATCATTTGAAGAAGTTATATGATTCTCCTTATGTAGGTCAATACTATTGTAAGTTCTTAATATTAATTTTTTATTTTAGTTTTACAAGTTCAACTCAGACTGTTTCTGATGATTATGAATGACGGCGTATTCACACAGATGATTGTGAATGTTCAATTTGAAAAAAAAATCATTAGAATTAATTTAAATTGAAGCCATTTTACGGACAAATTTGTTTCCCAACTTTTTTAAAATGACAGATGTCCTTTGCTACTAATCTACTCATATGTGCTTTCTGTTATCTTTTTTTTTTTCATTTTGCCAGGCTAAGCCACCGCAGCGCGTGGCCGGGTAAAGCTAGTTTGAAATAAAAATAGCACCAATTTTGGAAAATGATCCTGGAAGATATAGGCCTTGGAAAGGGAGATCCTGTGACAGCTTGAGGTTATTCAGCTTGGCAGAACTATGAGTGTTTAATGCCTTGGTGGAAAAGGAGCTGAGTGGAAGATCTGACGGATAGTTTACTCCTGGAAGCGGCTCCTCAGAATCTCATCCTGGAAAAGCCCATTCCTGTGTAAACTAAATTAGCCCTGTCATCCTATAGGCTTGGCAAAACTCGTTGTGTCTCTCTCCATAGGCCTATATATCGCCATAATGGAGCTTTTACCGCGTGAACCTATTGGTTATACCTCAACTCTCAATACCTGTTCGTTTAATTTTTATTACTATAATGATTAAAAACTAATTAATTATTATACTTGATTGAATGACTCATCTTAGAATGAAAAAATACATTAGATAATTATTCAATACCTCACATTTTGGAATCAATATAGTTTTATTATCCTTAGAATATTTTTTTTTTATTTCTTGTTAAGAAATATGAGAAATTTGTCTTTATTGCGTAAATTGATTTCAAGTTGACCAGAAACCGAAAAAGAGGATAAAGAACATTGTTACAATTGATAACCTTTAAAAATTCTATTTTTTTTTAGCGTTTTATTAAGAGCGAATTTCATTTCGCTTTCGAAAACATACATATAATGAAATGTGTACTTTTTGAGTTATTCCCA